ACTAATCATTCCCTCCTGTCTGATATGGCATTTAGTAAGGGAAGAACATAGGAAAAGGCATTGGGAAACAGAGGCTCTGGACGAACACTTAATTAGAGAGATTGTGGCCAGAAACCTATACACCACGGTGAAACAAGTGACTCAGCAGTGTATCTTTGCCTCCAGACTAAACCGAAAAATAACCCTGAACCAGAGATGGGTCAGACTGGAAAAGGTAATGGGCCTGGGCAGCAATGGCAGATTGATTTCACGGAACTCCCAAGAAAACAGGGGTACCGATATCTGTTGGTATTAACCGATACCTTTTCAGGTTGGCCAGAAGCATTCCCGACCAGGACGGCGAAAGCTCGGGAAGTAACTAAAGTATTAATACAAGAGATAATACCACACTTTGGGGTTCCAGCAACTATGTCCTCTGACAGGGGACCACATTTTGTTTCAAAAATAGTACAACAAATTAGCCGACACCTGGGTATAGATTGGCAGCTCCACACCCCATACCGCCCTCAGTCGAGCGGCCAAGTGGAGAAAATGAACCACTTAATCAAGCAACAAATTGTGAAATTACGGCAAGAAGCAAATTTGACATGGCCTCAGTCCCTTCCTCTAGCCCTCTTGCATATACGGACAAGGCCGAGGGCAAGAGAGGGTCTGAGCCCTTTTGAGATCCTGTGTGGATGACCCTATGGGATACAGAAGGGGATATCCATACAAATTGGGGATGAGATTATGACTTCTTATTTAGTGGCACTGGGCAAACAACGAAACAAAATCAGGAAACATGTGGTTGGGACCCGGGGGAGGGGCCTAGATGGACCTGTACATAATATACACCCTGGAGATTATGTATATATAAAGTCTCTTACAGAAAAGACTCTAGAGCCACAGTGGGAAGGACCATACCAAGTACTACTCACCTCTTTCACGGCCATCAGAATCAAGGAACAGAGCACCTGGATTCATCACACCAGAGTTAAAAAGGCATCTGGGAAACCATGGATGGTAACCCCTACTGGAGCTATGGGTTTACGATTCTCCAGACAGCAATAACCCTGTGGTTATTACTGGGTTCAGACGAAGCTAGGTGGAATCTAAATTCACACCTAGCAATAACTCAAAACGTTTCCCAGATTTTGAACAAAATTAATTGTTGGATATGTGCACACATGCCAGAACATGGGGGAAAAGGGATTTCATTAATCGGTATTCCAATCCCGAAGAACATCTCCTGGGCTAACCTCTGGACAAACACCACACGGAATGATGAAAACGATGAAGTGTTGGAATTGGAGATAAGAAGTCCTGAGGCCCAGAAACCTTATTGTACATGTGTACAGAGATGCAACCCACCAAGAGGCAAAGGAAAATTGGATTGTGGAGATGTGCCATTGATGTATGTAGGGAACCATACGGCTTGTAATCACACTAGAAGCATTGGAGGTTCATTTGGTGTTAATACTACCGCACGGCCGGTACCGGAAGGAAGAGGGTGGTACTGGCTATGTAATGACACTGCTCGGAAAGTATTACCAAAAAATTGGAAGGGAACATGTACTTTGGGGGCAGTAGTTCCAAACATGACCATACATAATTCTCCACCAAAAGGATGGGTACACACACACTTACAAAAAATGAGACGAAATGCCAAAAATCCTTTAGTAGAGAGGACCACTGCTTTTCATAGTTTTGCACGGTGGTTCCTGCCATGCTTGGGAGTGAGTGAATTGGAAAAAGCTATAGTTAACATCTCAGCTGTAATCGAAGATATTGCAAACAAGACTACAGATGCAATAAAAGCTCAACAACTAGAAATATCTAGCTTATCTCAGATTGTATTGCAAAATAGAATGATTTTGGATCTATTGCTGGCCTCTCAAGGGGGACTGTGTACGGTTAGAAATACGAGTTGCTGCATGTATGTAGATCAAAGTAGGAGAATTTCCACCGATCCGAAAGAGATTTGAAAACAAACTAAAATATTACATGAAGTGACGAAAGACAACACGTCTTGGGGTTTCTCGGAAATATGGGAAAAACTCACTTCGTGGCTACCTAATTTAGGATGGCTGAGGCAATTATTCATTACAAGGTCTTGATCATAATGCTAGGAATCGTTTTGTGTATTTTGATTAGGTGTAGCCTTTGGTGTTGCAAGAGTACAGGAGATTCTTACAGTGAGTGGAAAAGAAATCAATTACGACGAAAGCTGGAGTCCAATAAGTATTTTGAGAAGATGTTAAATAACAAAGTACTATAATAGAATTCACAGTAGTAAAAGAATTTACTAACCTTTTAGAAAAGGGGGGACTGAAGGAAGGGGTTAAAGGGATTTCAGTAGAAGCAGACTTGCCTAACAGTTACGGAATTTAGTAGAGGCAGCACTGCCGGATGGTTGCTGTGCAGAGAACTGACAGTGCTGAAAGTAACTGAGGCAGAGCCTCTTGCATTCCCTTACAAAGGGGGCAGTTTCCGATAAAGGCTGGGGAGTCGCCTAGAAGCGGCTACTGACCTTGCAGTTTGGGTGGGAGCCAGAGGAGAGCTGAGTTTGCCCAGAAACAAAGCTCAATCAGCAAACGCCGTGACGAAGAGGACGCGCGTTCATCTGGGGACCCCCGACGACCACCACCAGGAGGCAGTGTGAAGCGTGGCTGGGAGGGGTCTATGGAAACGACTTTTTGGAACTGATTTTAGTACAAGCGGGGATAGGTCGTGCATATGTATAGGCGGATTGGGAAATTTAATGAATATATAATATTCGACTGTATAAACTGAAGGAGCAACTTGTCACAGCAGCCCTCGCCCGCGCACAGCGGCTCTGAGGGGGGCAGATTTGGGGCTGGAAGGGACAGATTTGGGGCAGGAGGGCAGATTTGGGGCGGGGGGGGTCAGATGTGGAGCTGGGGGGTGGATTTGGAGGGCTCCCCCCCCATCTATACTAATGGCTTCATCTCTTTGCTAATAATATCTTTTTAAATCCCTCCCTTATTGTATCTTATTTTGGGGGGTTTGAATCGTTTGTTAGTTTCCTTGTCTCCCTGAAATGTTCCCCCTTTGTCGAAGCAGCGCGCCCACACAGAGCACACAGCAGCAAGCGACGGGGGACAGAAACCCCCCCGGTCTCTCGTTGCTCTCATACTAATGGCTTCATCTCTTTGCTAATAATATCTTTTTAAATCCCTCCCTTATTGTATCTTATTTTGGGGGGTTTGAATCGTTTGTTAGTTTCCTTGTCTCCCTGAAATGTTCCCCCTTTGTCGAAGCAGCGCGCCCACACAGAGCACACAGCAGCAAGCGACGGGGGACAGAAACCCCCCCGGTCTCTCGTTGCTCTCCTCCCGACGCAGAGGCTGGATAGATGAGACAACATCAGGGCCAGAGGTTCAGCCAGGTTGAGCTTATTGTTATGGACAGATACTCCATATCTCTTCACATCTGAAGATGAGATACTCGTCTTCAGTCTCGCTGCTTATTCCAGGGCTCATTGCCGTTAAACAGTACTAAAAACTTCCCTTGTTTTCTAGGTCATTCTGTTTTGTGAGCACTCCTCTCTCTGTGGGCCCTGGAGCACCCATAGATAGTTCACAAGACCCTTTTTTCCCTTGTTTCTCCTCAGCATTCCCTGTTTTCAGCGTTTTCCAGATTTGGGCCGCTCTACTCGGTGCGAGCGCACAGAAACGCTGCCGTGGCAGGGCCTGGGTGTTACGCCATCATCAAGTTTTATTCAGCTGGAGATGCCGGCAGAGCCCAGCATGCGTGCAAAGGGCAGAGGCTGTTTCAGAAATCTCCCCTGAAGGTAAGCAGAACAGCCCCGGGTGGGCAACTTGCAGGGCTCAGTGCCATGACCTCCAGCAGCAGCAGGCAATTCCATGAAACACTTGTTGATCTCTGTGGAAAAAGTCTTGGCTGGATGCTATCAACACGATGACATCCCCTGCCAGGCTCCCAGGCAGCGTTTCAGCAGTAAAATGGCAGCATCCCTCCTCTGGCAGAATTTGCAGGGCCCGTTCCTGGGTGAAAAAAATATTTAACACCTCTCGGAAGCTGGCGTGTGACCAGGTATCTAAGAAGAAGGCCCAAATAATACAACGCGAGGTGATTTACTTGGGCTATGAGATTAGCGCTGGACAAAGAACTTTGGGCAGCCCCATAAAGAGACAATATGCCAAGCTCAGAGACCTCAGACAGTGAAAGAGCTATGGACTTTCTTGGGAGTGACCGGGTGGTGCCAGCTGTGGATTTATAGTTATGGATAGTTACTAACATTGTCAACCAGCGGAAACACAGGAGAACCGGTACATCATAACTGCCTGGAGACAGCCCTATGGAGAATGGGGAAAACTGGTTCACAGATGGAAGCAGCTATGTTCTGAGTGGTGAGAGACACGCGGGGTATGCTGTCACCACCAGTCAAGAAGTCACAGAGTCAGGACCTTTGCCCATAAACACTTCTGCGCAGAAGGCAGAAATATACACAGACTCGAAGTACACCTTTGGAGTTGTGCATGCGCATGGAGTGATCTGGAAGGAAAGAGGATTACTGAACTCTCAAGGGAAAAACATCAAACATGCATAAGAAACTTTGAAACTGCTGGAGGCAGTTCAACTCCCCGAGAAAGTGGCAATCATGCATATTAAGGCGCACCAGAAAGTGAGCTTAGAATTGGAAAAAGGAAACGAGCTGGCGGACACAGAGGCAAAACAGGTGGCCAAAACGGAGGTAAGAACTGAAGGGGCTTTAATCCCTGACGGACAAACCTCCCTAGAAGGTAAGCCAGAATATACCAAAGAAGATCAGAAACTTATCACAGATCTAGAACGGTCATACAACAAGGAGGGGTGGGCTCAAACCCCACAGGGAAAGCTAATCATTCCCTCCTGTCTGATATGGCATTTAGTAAGGGAAGAACATAGGAAAAGCTGGCACAGACACTGGTCAACCCTGTGGTTGCACAGTTTGTGAGTCTGCATTCTCTGAATTTAGCTGGAGGCAAGGATCTGTGTGGGGCCTTGTGAGCTGCTGTGTTACGCAGCAAGGGGTGCTGAGCATGCCTCTTCCCTCCCCACGTTGCACCAGGACCACTTTCCTACCCTCTGTTCTCTCCCTGTCGCCTGCGGGGTTATCCATTCCCCATCGCAGCCACTGCTGCTGTGAACATGCCATGTTCATGTTCATATGTTTCGTTTCGTTCAATATATTTCACATATGTTTCGTACACTGTGCCTGCGGCACGGCTCAGGTGCCAGCGGGGCTCTGCGCTGCCCACTGCCCTGGGCAGGGTCCCGACCTGGGGCTGAGGATCGTGTGCTGCTGTGGGTTGGCACACAAAGCACTGTGAGGGTCCTGCCACGCTGCCAGAGACTCCCGAGACATGAGCAGCTCTCTTACAGCCCCGTAAGGCTGTGTTTGGGTACGCTTCCTCGCGCCGTGCAGCCGGTGTGCTTGATGTCCAGAGTGTCATCTGAAAGTCGGTAACACGCTGCGTGTTGCGTTCAGATCCTCTCGAGTTTGTCACAGCCTCAGGAAGAGTTCAGAAACTCGCAGTCGGGAAGGCTTTGTCTAACGCCTTTCAGAAATCCTCCTCGTAGTCCTAGGTAAGGCCTGTCTTTGTGTTAAATGCTGGGGTGTTTGGGCTAATGGTACTAGAACTTGCATGATAATAGATACGAATTCTTTTTCTCTGAAGCTTTCTTGGGATTCAGTGAAGCTTGGGGGGTCTCAGGCAAAATTGAACTTGTGGTCTGCAGGGGTTTAACAGAGTGGTTCCACCCTATGAGCTACGTGAGCAAAAGGAAAATCTGACAGGAGGTCAGATTTTTTAATTATAAATAACGGGATGTGGGGAGGTTCTGGTTCCAGGGGCAACATGAGCGGAACTGCAGCACTTTGCACGTTCCTGTCCTAGTTCCAAGCCAACCGGTGCCGTCAAAGGTCTGTGCCCCACTGTTGTGTTCAGTGTTGCATCCTTGGGGCTTCTGTCTCCTTTGAGTTTTGAATCATAGAAGCTGGCTCTGTGCCTGTCCAGGAACACCTAGATCCGCTTGCTCTGGGTTCCAGGTCCCTCTGAGCTCTTAGGTGACGCCTGTTTATCTGGTGTCTGAGTACTCAGTCTTTTACGCTTATCAGGACTGACCCCAATGGGACCAGGTCAGTCCTCATTTTACAGAGAGGGGCCCTCTGTCTCCCAGATTCCTCCCCTGGATTCTTTAAGGTGTTCTTTCGAAAGGTGGGGTTCTGGATTCCGATGTTCAGCAGCGCTTCCTGTCGCCTGGTCCATCGTGTACCCAGACACCAACAATTAACGTGCTCCATCCTCTCCATAGATTTCCGTTTCCTCAATTCCAGTTTCCACCCCGTTGAGTAAGAGCCGTGTGGCTTTCTGAAGAGAAGTTAGGCAGGCCACAGAAGGCAGCGCGCTCATTCAGACCAACCAGTCGCTCACTCCGAAAGCCGTTACGAAGCAGAATTGTCCCCTTTGGAGTTTAGGGTAGGTCTATTGTCAGTACGCACAGTAGTAATTAACCATGTCTCTGGCTGTTTGTTCTGTTTCAGAGAATGGGAAATTGGCCATGGAGTACAATTCCTCCCAAGAGGAGCCCGCAGACTCCCTAACAGAAGAGGAACTGAAGGGACTTGTTCAGGTAAAACCAGTGGGTCTTTAGCTTTTGTGCAGGGCCTGTGTGTTCCATCTAGGGACTGGAGATACAGCTGTTAACCATTACAGCCCCTGACACCCTCCTTAAACCCCGGGAAGTAATCACATCTGGGAATTGTACAGCA